AATTCAAATTGGATCAAAGACCTAAATATAAAGCCAAAAACTATAAAGTTCATAGAAGAAAAAACAGGATCAATGCTAGAGGCCCTAACACATGGCAGTAACAGGATACAAACCATAACCAACAACCCACAAACTCCAGAAGATAAGCTAGATAACTGGGATCTTCTAAAAATTAAACACTTATGCTTATCAAAAGACTTCACCAAAAGAGTAAAAAGAGAACCTACAGACTGGGAAAAAATTTTTGGACAGTACAAGTCAGACAAAGTTCTATTCTCTAAAATCTACAAGAAAATCCAACACCTCTACAACAAAAAAACAAATAATCCAATTAAAAAACAGGCAAAGGAAATGAACAGACACTTCACCAAAGAAGACATTCAAGCGGCCAACAGATACATGAGGAAATGCTCACGATCACTATCCATTAGAGACATGCAAATTAAAACCACAGTTAGATACCATCTCACCCCAGCATTACTGGCGCCAGTCAAGAACACTTGAAATAACAAATGTTGGAGAGGCTGCAGGGTGATCGGAATTCTTATGCACTGCTGGTGGGAATGTATAATGATACAACCATTTTAGAAAATGATACGGCACTTTCTTAGAAAGCTAGAAATAGAAATACCATATGATCCAGCAATCTCACTCCTAGAAATATATCCTACAGAAGTAAGAGCTACCACACAAACAGACATATACACACCCATGTTCATTGCAGCATTGCTCACAATAGCAAAAAGATGGAAACAACCTAGATGCCCATCAACAGATGGATGGATAAACAAACTATGGTATATACACACAATGGAGTATTATGCAACAATAAAGAACAATGATAAATCTGTGAAGCATCTCATAACATGGATCAAATTGGAGGTCATTATGCTGAGTGAAATAAGTCAATCAGAAAAGGATAAATATTGTATGAGACCTCTACTGTAAAAACTCATGTAAAAGTTTACACACAAAAGAAACAATGTTTGTTGGTTACCAGAGATGGGATGGGTGGGTGGGGTAACTAAACAGACAACAGATAAGTGGTAACTTTGGTGAAGGGTAAGACAGTACACAGTACTGGGGAAGCCAGCACAACCTGTACAAGGAACGGTCATGGAAGCTCCATAGACACATCCAAACTCCCTGAGGGACTGAATTGCTAGGCAGAGGGCTGTGGGGACCTTGGTCTCAGGGAACATCTAGCTCAATTGACATAACACAGTTTATAAAGATAATGTTCTATATTCTACCTTGGTGAGTAGTGTCTGGGGTCTTAAAAGCCTGTGAGCAAAGCCATCTAAGATACTCCACTGGTCTCACCCCTTCGGGAGCAAGGGAGAATGAAGAAAACAAGATACAAGGAAACGGTTAGTCCAAAGGACTAATGGACCACAGCTACCAAGGCCTCCACCAGACTGAGTCCAGTACAGCTAGATTGTGCCCGGCTACTACCACTGACTGTTCTGACCAGGATCACAACAGAGGGTCCTGGTCAGAGCTGGAAAAGGATGTAGAACAAAATTCTAACAACAACAACAAAAAAGACCAGATTTACTAGCTGGACAGAGACTGCAGAAACCCTGAGAGTATGGCCCCCAGACACCCTTTTAGCTCAGTGGTGAAGTCACTCCCGAGGTTCACTGTTCAGCCAGGGATTGGACAGCCCCATAAAAGAAAATGGGACTAATGAGGCACAGCAGTCCAGGGACAAGGACTAGAATGTAGGAGGGGACAGGAAAGCTGGTGATAGGGAACCCAAGGTTGAGAAGGGACAGCGTTGACATGTCATTGGGTTGTTAACCATTGTCATAAGGCAATATGTGTACTAACTGTTTAATGAGAAACTATTTGTTCTGTAAACCTTTATCTAAAGTATTAAAAAGAAAAAAGAATTATCTATGTGAGATCAAACTGTCAACAGCAACTCAAAAGGTTTGATGGGAAGCCTAGGGGATAGTGAGTTGAAGATAACGGTGATGGAATAATTTGGAAAAGGGTAGTGAGAATAGCAGCACAACTGGAAGAATGTAATCAATGTCACTGAATTGTACATGTAAAAATTTTTGAAATGGTTATCTTTAGCTATGTATATTTTCATCAAAAAAAAAAAGGTCGAGAAGGGAGAGGGTTGACATGTCGTGGGATTGTTAACCAATGTCAGAAAACAATATGTGTACTACCGTTTAATGAGAAACTATTTGTTCTGTAAAACTTCACCTGAAGTACCATAAAAAAAATGGAAAAAAGATATATAATATGTAAATGGGGTAGTGTGTTTTCTATTG